CATGGGAGAGTCCAGGCAGTAAAATTGTTGAACTCCGTATTGAAACGGGTGGGGCTGCAGAGTTCCCAAATGGAACATGAGGCGGTGTTCTTCCAGATTGCACTGAGCTTCGCTGGAACGCTGCAGCAACCCTAAGACAGCTGTTGACCAGGGAATACTATGGTGTGTTAAAGTGGCAGACAGCTGGAAGCTCCGGTTCCTTTTTTGTGGGCAGAATGTAGATGTTCTGCAAAGAGGTCACCCAGTCTACGCTTTGTTTCCCCAAGGTAGAGGAGACCACATTGTGAGCAGCGAATGCAGTAGACGAGGTTGTGTTCTTCATCTTGAAAGTATGTTTGGGCCCTTGGATACTGAGGAGGGAGGAGGTAAATGGGCAGGTGTTACAGCTTTGGCAGTTGCTGGGGAAGGTGCTGTGCTGTGGGGTGGGGTGCAGTTTTGGGAGTGAAGGAAGAGTGAACCAGGGTGTCCTGGAGGGAATGGACCCTGCAGAAGACAGACAAGGGAGGGCGAATATGTTTGGCATTTCACTGGAGGTGGCAGAAATGGTGGCTAATAATCCTCTGGATTATGGTAGGTAAGGGATGGTGGGATGGTGGGATGGTAGGTAAGGACAAGGGGAACCCTATCCCTGTTGTGGGAGGGAAGAGAGGGTGTGAGGGCGGAAGTGTGGGAGATGGGTCGGACCCAGTTGAGGGTCCCATTGACAACAGTGCTTGGGAATCCTTGTTTGAGGAAGAAGGTGGACATTTTGGAGGCTACCTTATCGAAGTTGGCCTCATCAGAACATATGCGCAGACAGAGAAAGTGGGAGAATGGAATGGAGTCTTTACAGGAAGCAGGGTGAGACGATGTATACTCCAGGTAGCTTGTGAGTTGGTGGGTTTATGGTGGATATTAGTGGCCAGTCTATCCCCAGAAATGGAAATCGAAATGTCGAGGAAGGGAGGAGTCAGGCGAAAGTGAGGGTGAGGTGGAAGAAAAGAGAAGCAAGCAGTACTGATATCATTGATACATTGGAGAAAGTGTTGTGGGTAGAGACTCCAGTAGGACTGGAACAAGGAATGTTCCATGTGCTCCATGAAGAGACCGGCATAACTGGGACCCATGACCACCCCTCTGACCTGAAGAAAATGAGAGGAGTTAGGGGAAGTTGTTGATGAAGACGAGCTCAGTCAAGCGGGCGGTGGTGGTAAATGGGGATGGTTGAGGCCTTTGCTCCAGGAAGAAGCAGAGAACAGCAAAGCTGGAAAAACAATTTTTTCCGCTTGGAACCCTGCAGCCCTCTACTGAGTCCAATCATTTTAGGGCCTGAACTCTCCCATGTCCTAGCCCCCTACACCACACACCAGGCTTTGTTATCACATAGTCCACCATTACACACTACTAGTTGTTACCCAGTAACAGTCTCCATTAACAGCAGTTCATCTTACTAGTCAGGTTGCTTTCCACTCCTTTGTCTGTCCAAATGTTCTTTCTGGGCTCTATCCCCACCTTTGTTTACTCCTTACCCCTTTTCACCCACCCCCCAATCTTCATATAAACCGACATTTGCCTAGCTACTGTTAGTTCTGAGGAAGGGTCACCGGACCAGAAACGTTGACTCTGTTTTTTTCTTCACAGGTTCAGCCAGACCTGAAGCTTTTCCAGCAATTTCTGCTTTTGTTTCTGCTTTACAGCATCTGCAGTTCTTTCGCTTTTACGCAGGAATAAGCCTGCTCCGCCATTTAGTAGGATCATGGCTGAGCCTCTATCTCAAAGCCATAGTTCTGTTTTTTCCCATATCCTTGATGCCTTTATAATCTCTAGAAATATACCTTTTATATTGCTTGACTGTCAGTGGAATTAAAACAGAGGGAGGCAGTGACCTAGTAGTATTATCACTAGACTGTTAATCTAGAGACCCAGGTCGTGTTCTGTGGACTTGAGTTCAAATCCCACTGTGGCAGATGGCAGAACTTTAATTCACTAAAAATGTGGAATTAAGACTCTAATGGATGACCATGAATCCATTGATTGTTGGAAAAATCCATCTGGTTCACTGTCCTTTAGGGAAGGAAATTAACATCCTTGTATGGTCTAACCTAGATGTGACTAAGATCCACAGTGTGGTTGATTCTTAATTGCCAAGGGATGGGCAATAAATGCTGGCCCGGCCAATGATGCCCTCATCCCGTGAATGAATAAAAACAAAGATAGATCATCGAATCCCTACAGTGTAGAAACAGGTCCTTTTGGCCCAACAAGTCTACACTGACCCTCAGAGCATCCCACCTAATCTACACATCCCTGAACACTATGGGCAATTTAGCATGGTCAATCCGCCTGCATATCTATGGACTGTGGGAGGAAACCCCGCAAACACGGGAGAATATGCAAACTCTGCACAAACAGTCGCCCGACAGTGGAATCGAACCCGGGTTCCTGGTGCTGTGAGACAGCAGTGCTAATCACTGAGCCACCGTGTCGCCCCAAGCTTGAATAGTTATTTCATTGCCCTAAATGTTCACTATTTTATTGTTTTTGCATGTTTCAGTTTTTGTTCAGTGATGGGCACTCTTACCCAAGTCAGAAGGTTAATTTATTATTCATTTTTCACGTGTTTGCATCACTGACAAGGCAACCATTTAAAGCCGATCCTTAATTGCCCTTGTGGTGATAGCTGCTGTCTTGTGTAGGACTGACGATCACTGCAATTTCAAAAGGGGCTATGTAAAATCACACTCATTTCTGACAGAGGTTTGCCCAGTAAGATGAGAAATCTCTTTACATGACACCATTAATTTTTGAGTTCTCTACTTCAGAAAACACAGGAGGCTGGGTCATTGAATGTATTCGAGGTTGTGTCAGAATCTGGATGTGAACAAGCAAGTTTGTGTGTTATGGGGGCAGATAGAAGTGGCATACAAAGTGGAGTTAAATCCTTGTCAGAACAACCTTGATCTTATTGAATGCCAGTATCAGCTTGATGGGCTGAATGGCATCCTCCTATCTCTTGTGCTAATCTTTAGACATGAAGGCCAGATCTGGCAAGTATGAATTTTGTTTTGTTTCCTTTTTTTTCTTATTTGTTTACAGGAATCCATTTGTAATTCATCTTAAAGGTAATGATGAGCTTGCTGCCTTGAACCTGGGTATATCCACCTTCTTGCTAGGAAGTGAGTTCCAGGATTTTGGTCCAGCAGCGGTGAAGGAGTGGCAATATAATTGCAACTCAGGATGGTATATGGCATGTGGGGGCCTGTAGATAATGGTGCTCCCATGTATTTGTTGACTTTCTCCCTCTAGGTTGTGGAGGTCATAGGTTTTGAAAGCAGGCAAGAGGAGTGCAGTGCATCTTATACATGGTGTGCACTGCAGTCACTGTGCTTTGGTGAAGGGAGTGAACGTTGAATTTGTAAGAATGGGATGCCAATCAAGTGGGCTGCTTTGTCCTAGATTGACCTGAGCATCAGGAGTGTGTTCCAGATTTATTTAATTGAGTTTAAAGTTGTCCTTTGTAGGCTTTGAAACCTTTGACAACAGGTCATTGGACTTGAAACAGTAACTCTGTTTTTCTGCTCAGACACTGCCAAATCTGTTGAGTTTCTTCACTTTCTGTTTTTGTTTCTAATTTTCTAGTATCTGCAATAGTTTGCCTCCATACTTTTTAATAGAAAAAATTCATAGATTCAGCATTTTTTTGGATGTCCAACTGATCTGACTGAATTTTTGGTTGAGAGCCTATTGAAGATTGTGATTCGTTATTTTTGTGCCTTTGTTAGATACAAAATGCAATGAGAAATTCATTGCTATCTTATGACTATGGAGTTCTAGTTAATTACAAAAAAGTTGTAACATTAAAAAAATTTGTTCATGGAATGTGGACTTCTCTGGCATTTATTGCCCATCCCTAATTGCCAAGAGGGCAGTTGAGTCAACCACATTGCTGAGTCCAGAGTCTCCCTCAGGCCAGACTACACGAGGATGGCCGATTTCCTTCCCTAAAAGATATTAGTGAACCG